GTAATATTTAATTCATTAAAAAGTGTTAAATATTTACTGTTTTTTAAAATGGTTAATATTATATCTAAACAAAGTGATGATCAAATTTTATCTAAATTAAACCCATTATAAACCATTTATACATATTTAATGATTGACCTTGCTTATAAGTTAGTAATATTCCATTAGTTATGTAATATAACTTATATCTATTTATTTCTTTAATAAATCAAAATCTAACTTTTTAAATAAATGCTTATAAGTTATTGTATTTGGTTATATAATAATTATTAATAAAATTATAAATAATAATCTATCATAAGGTATACAATAATATTGACATTTCTCATTGTTTGTATGAATTTTGAGTCAAAAAAATTGTTTATTGTTAATTATATGTGATTTAATTTATAATTTGGCATAATCTTTCAATAAGTATTTTCATATAAAGTATGTATGTAAATATTTTGACTAAACTTCCCATAAAAATATTTCTAATATGTATGAAATGATAAATATTTATATAATATGAAAATACTTATTGAAAGATTATCCCAAATTATAAATTGAATCACATACAGGTATAATTAGCAATAAACAATTATATTTGCAAAAATAAAGATGATTACTTTGGAATTAATATGAAAATGAATAGTTTTAAGCAATCACTGAATTAAAATGCTATACAATTACATGCTTTATAATTATTCAATTTCGTATTGACTCCAAAGTAATAATTATACTGATATAGCATTGAATTAAATCCTAACAAATTATCCGTAATTAAATTCTTGTAAGTAATTCTTTATATAACGTTATTCATAGAAATAAATATTAAAAATAAAAATTTATAATAATCTATAATTAAATGTCAATATTAAAATAAAATCAATTGAATTGAATGAAACAAAAAATACATGTTTAAAGATTTGTTAATTTGATAAACATTTCAAGTTTTGATTGTTAAGCGATTGTTCCGCTAAAACCAATTAAGCTATTATTGTGTAAACAAAACAAATACTGTAACCATAAACTTGATTATGTACTTTTTAAAAATGTAAGTCTGAATGTGATTTAAATTTAATGTTGTGATAATTAGAGTATATAATAATGGGACGCAATTTGAGTTTGAAAAGCACCTCAAAATACATAATCTAAAAGTAAACATTTTGAAAACACCAACTTCAAAATCATTATCTCAAAACCATACAGTTAGAGTGAATATTTTATAATTAACTTTATATAAAGTGATAACTAGACTTAGGATAAAAAAGGGATAAAAATATTTTAATTGTTGTAATTCTTACAAAATGCGAGACTAGTGTTGGCAAAGGAATCAACAATTAAACCCGATATTATTAATTAACGGGTTTTTATTACAAACGAATGTCCCTTTCATTTGATTCCCGAACATCAAAATCGGGTTTAATTGTTGATTCCTTTGCCAACACTAGTCTCGCATTTTGTAAGAATTACAACAATTAAAATATTTTTATCCCTTTTTTATCCTAAGTCTAGTGATAACCAATAATAATTTGGTCCCTTTGAAATATTATTAAAAATACTTTATATCACAAAACTATTTTTAAATTTAAATTGATTTAATATTATTGTCTTATATTCTTGTCATTCAATTAAATTGAAAACAATTAAACAATGAATGCAAATATTAGGCTGTTATACAGTATAACTTACAAGTACTGTAAAGTATACAACAATTATACACTTTATATGTTTAATACTTTAGTTTTTTGTTATTTAAAATTTAATCCGATTCTGAATTGCATTTTGTTTCTCAATTTCATAGAAGTAATTGTGAATTGAAGTTAATTTTATTTTTCAAGAAAACAAAATACAAATTAAATATTTATTCATCGAAATAACAATACATTAGAAATGTTTTCAATTATTATGTCTAAAGAGTATGCCATCCGTTGGGAAATACACGGAACCGTCTGAAGTGATGTGTGGCCTCAGGTTTGATGTCATTATCTGTTTCGTTGCATTCATTTCTATTTGAAAACACATTAAAAATTATATTTCAGTTATAATTTCAATTGAGCGGCAAATGAATGCCAAAACGAGATCTGAATGGCAAATACCCTGACTATTGAAGCTATACTGGGCTCTAAATCCGGGCGAAGTATTGTTGGCATTTGTCACTAATTTCACGAGTAATAAGTTTCCCTGGCTTTGAATGGGCGCCGGATTGTCCTAATGTTGGCCACAATTATAATCAAATTCATTATAAATGCGTTACAGATATGTGTGAAGACATACATCACCGCAAATACGGATAATACGATTAGTGGGCAGATCTTCCTTTCCCTCATAGACTTCAATATAGTTTGTTTGACAGCCAATAGTGGACGAGAGGGACAGTGATGTGAATCGTAGGGTCAGTGAATGCAAACCAAAAGAGTGGACAAACCATTTGCAAACGCCGCTCACGTTATACGCCGACGGATATAAAGGACTCGTAAACGTGCCGTTAAATGACGTTAAGTTTCCGCCTTTTCGGAGAAAACAATGTTTAAAAACAAATTTAAAAATATGTTCACAATTGCATTAAGAAGCGGTGCATTCATACCACAGCCACGACCGGCAGCGGTAGTGGTGTATGTGATGAAGAACTTGGCGCTATAGCCCAACAATTTTATCGACAATTGATTGCCCGATGAAAATATGGGATCGGGAAGAGTGTCGCCGCACAACACCTTCAGCTCCGGCGAAGTGTCGGCCAAACCGTCTTTAATAGTCATATTTCCGTAATAACAACCGATTCGGTTCGTCGACCGATATATACGGAAATCATTGAAATACAGAGCAATAGTGTGACCGACTTTTGCCGTGATATTCATTTGACACAATCGGGTGTAACTGTAAACGTATGAATAGTCCGGATATCTAGTGTTAATTATTAGTCCCGAGTCTTCGTTATAAGTCTGATTGCAAGCGGCGAACGTGTAGTTCAGCGAAAAGCCCTTATGGTTAACGGCTGGCACTGTATTCGTCACAAATGTCATCCATAGACCTCTTTTGGCGACAATAGCGGGCGGCGCTCGAGTGCCGCACATCCTATACGGCTCTATCCTATGACTGGTGTAAGTGTCGGCACTGAACTCAATGTAATCATTATTATTGCAATTGATATCCAAATCAGTGAATTTGATGCGAATAGTGGTCGACCAGTAAGAGTAATAATTACGTTCAAAAGTGAAGTGCCATTTGCACCGCAAACCCGTCGGATATCCTGTCGGGTAATTGAGTGATGAGAGAGTTTGCGTCACATTTGTTACATTTATAAATCCACCGCACAGTTTATCGATGGCCTCAAACTGAGCCTTAAATCCGGTCTTCGCTTCTTTGCCGTCGGAGAAGAACTGAACCGCCATTTTATTAGTCGACCCAATGATAGGACTGGGAATAGTTGTGCCGCAGAAGCGATCGACTAAAGCGCTCGTATGCGACAAACCATCTCTCACTTCGACAAAATCAAAGGCACATTTGGTGCCATTGGTTGGACTCTCTTCGATGTCCAGTTTGCTGAACGTAATCTTCACCACTTTGTCTTCGGGCAAAATGAAGTGATACCAACAGTTGACGTCCAACTCATACTTGCCGTCGTTATCTATGTCTGGCGATTCGATGGAACCCATGGAGATGTTGTGGAAGACACCACCGCATCCCTGATCCTCTCCCAGAGTGGTTCTGTAGGCGAGTCTGAAACCCAAATCCTCGATATTATCATGGTAATAATAGCCATCCGTGCGATACGTGATCCGCAATTGATTGCCAGACGACTTCACAATAGCGCCGGTGTCTCGTATTGTTTGGCAATACCTGCCGATTAGGGGCGCAGTGCTGTTCACGCCATCCCTAATCTCCAGACCGTTATAATAACAGTTATAATTGTTGAGCATATTTATACGGTTGAACACCAGTTCAATGACCCGATTCTCGGCAACCGTTATATACCAAACACAGTTCATGTAATTATATCGACGCACCGGTGGGTTATATATGAAACCCGTGTCGTCCGTATAGTTTCCGCCACAAGATGTGACCGAAAACGAGGCTTTAAAGCCTTTTCTCACATAACTGCTGTCACTTCTGAAAGTGACCAAAAGGGCGGCGTTTGATGTGATAATGGGAGGCTTCTCTACCCCACAGTACGTTCCCATATGTGTAGCGCCGGTATTATTGCCCAAATAGATATCGACGGCATCCCAACGGCACATATGACCCGTTTCCACATCAAAGTCGTCGTCAAACTCGAGCCGTATATAGTCTTTAGGAGTGCGAAGAATAAGATATTCACAGCGAATCATATTATTGTAATCATTGGGATAATTAGGACTCGTGAAGACACCGGTGGATGCCGTGAACACCTCTCCGCACGCTATTTGATACATGAGTTTAAAGCCGTCGCCATTGATATTGTCGTTGGTGTGGAAAGTGACGCGAACTTTGTTAGTGCGAGACTTGAATGGTTGCGGTCGGTCTGTACCGCAATATTTGCCAATCTGTGACCAATTAGTGTCGTCTTCGGCGTCGAGCTGTTCCTCGAATAGGATGTAATCCTTATCGCAATTATCTGTCTTTTCGATGTCGAATCGGTCGACGAAAGTGAAGTTTATGTGATAACTGACATGCATTTGCAGATTCCATACACACTCCACGTTGTGGTCATAACGGGTCGGGTATTTCAATGAATGAATATTTCCCATCGGATTCATGAGTAGTCCTCCGCATCCGTGCTCTTCCTTCCGGACATACATTTTGAACCGATAGCCAGTTGAGGGCCGATTGGTTGCCGTCCCTTTGAACATCACCTTTATTTTACCCACCGATGAGTGTATCTCTTGAGCCGCTGTAGAGCCGCAATACTTGTCAGTTGTGGGTGAGTCCGACCAAAAGCCCTGTTGAATCTGGACGTAATCGAGTTCGCAATCGGTTCCCAAATTGAAATCAGTGAATGTGATGATCAACTGTTGACCCCAATCGACCACAAACTCCCAAACACAGTACGAGTCGATGGGATAACTATCGGGATAATTGGGTGACACGTACTCGCCGTCCGGGTTCCTAAAGAATCCGCCGCATTCTTGGATGAAATATTTGCCACTAATTCCTCGATAACCGTTCGTATAGTTAGTGGTGAGGAATAATTTTGGATAACCTAGGTTCGTTTCCGCTCGATTCGGCGCAAAAAACTCAAACTTTTTCCCATTTTGTGTGTTATTTCCGCAATACTTATTATAATAGTGATAATAATATCGATACCGAACTGTATTGAAAAGCAAATGGTTTGCACAATAATTATAACAGTAATGTATAATTAAATAATGAATTAAAATCACTGACTGTTGTAGTGTTCAAAGCGAAGTGAACTGTTCACACAGTAAGCGGAGGCCGGGATTTCAAACACATCGAAACGAAAGGCCACCGTATAGTTAGGGCTATTGGACGGCACGTTTATATCCCACACGCAGTCGATCTGATCCGTGAAATTGGTTTCACCGAATCTATAGGAACTGATTGAACCCGCGGTTCCCGATAGTACTCCTCCGCAAACTGTACGGCAAATGTTTATAAAATGGTTAATTTGACAATTTTTTAACTGTTGTATATATAATATATTAGACAATTTCTGTTCACATAATTATGTTGTATTATGTGAATGGAAATTACATCTAAATTTTAATCGCCTGAATATATTTTCTAATTGATCTAGTAACTATTATTCCTAATGACATTGTTATTTCATTACTCGCTATCAATATAAATATAATAGTTGTGAGAATTTAGATATAATTTAGATTAAGAGATGTGTTGTTTGTAAATGTCTTACATTCTTCTTCATCAGCGCTGTATTCGACTCGAAAGCCCTCTCCGGCGGCCAAACCAGAGGAATAAAACAAAATACATAACACATGGCTCTGAGTTTGTATGGGTTCGGGTATAACCGCTCCGCAGGGAAGTAAGGCTTGAGATGAATAATAGCTGCCTCTATATATCTGACAACAAATATTGAAAATTAAAGTAAATATTTTTACCTTACATTATATTACGTTATATTTAAACCATTTATTTATCCATACTTTTATAGTATCCAAACAAATGCTTGTATTTCTGGGATTCACTTTGAGATTGTAATCCAAAAATGTAAGTTTCAAACTACGACCGGGCGGTGCGAACACATACCACACACAGTAACTGTATTCCGATACAGAGTTTGGGTAGTTAGGACTCGTTAGCACCCCTTTATTAGCCGCGTTTTCAATAGTATTACCACATCTGGTATAAGAAAGTTTATATGATATCTTAAACCCCCTTCCGGTCCTTGAAATGTCGCTTTTGAATGATATATAAACGATATTTTTCTTTGATTTAAGAGAAATGGTTGTGTTTTCTTCATTTGAACCACAATATCGTCCAATGAGTTCTCCGGTCGGACCCTCTTCTCGAAACTCGACGTAATCGCCTAATAATTGATAATAAATTACAAACTATTTATAAGAGACAAAAAGTAATCATAAGAAATACCTATAGAACAGTCAGAATTGGCTACAATATCCATAGCAGTGATGTTTATCTCGTGGTAAGAGCTGGCATAATATGAACGCAAATAGTAATTGCATTGCATATTATCGGTATAATTGTTGGGATAATTGGGAAGACTTAGTTGGCTGAGAGAATAGGCCGCTAAATAAGTGCCGCCGCAATCGCTTATCCTTACGTTTGCCTTAAAATTGGCTAAATTTTCTGCGTTAGACGTAACGAATCGGACGAATATATAATTGCCTGAACTTCGGATTGTATTGGAAAGAGTGGGCGGAACACAGTATTTGTCGATCAGCGTTGAGACACCGGTCCCGCCGTCTCTTATCTCTACAAACTCTGTTGTCTTATTGCATCGCATCCTATCATCAATTATATTAATAACAATTTTAAACTAATATTACTTTTTAAATATCTCACGGCATCTGTTGAAAGACGAAATCAAATCTAATGTTTGTGTTGACGGGACTCATGATAACCCAATCGCACTCCACTCGATGGGGCGGTTGTTGCGGATAGTTTGGTGACGAGATGTTGACACTGGAGTTACTGGCGGTTAACTCGATGTGATCGCCGCAACCGACAGACACTTCGTTGTATCGCAAACGGAAGTCCTATTCAATAAACAGTTTGATATAATTACTAATAATTATGAGTCAAACACATCTCAAACCATTGAATACTGACCGCATGTAAATCTCTTCGGGCGTAGAACTCGACGCGAATCATATCAGACGAACTCTCGGGAATCGTGGGTATAGTTTGGCCGCAATAGCGACCGCCGCCCAAAGGGGGCGACCGTTTGCGGCCACCATTTTTCAACAGTATGTATGAGTACTGACAGTTGCCGTTGTCGGCGATGTTGAGCGACTCAAACGTCAACTGAATGGTCCGGTCGTGTCTCGCTTTGATAATCCATTCGCACTTTATTTCATTGGTCACGTCGTCGGTGGATATGTAACCACTGGAACCGTGTACTATACCGCCGCATATCGGGTATATAGTCATATCAAAACCGGTCGAGTTATAGTACCAGTCGGTAATGAAATTAATTCTCATGATATAAATACGGGGTAACTCTATTGAGGCGCTATATCGGCCGCATATGGTCTTATTGGTCCTCCACACTGAGGCCATTACGTTCAGAGGCACTAATAGCAGCACTTTATCGGAATAACAGCTCCTATTACTGCCCCCGAGATTCATAAATGTCACGTTTACCCCGAAGTGATAGGTTTGTATGGTATGGAAAGTCCAGTTGTAATTCAATCGATGGGCATAGCCTTCGATAAGCAGAAAAACAAATTGTGTGAATCAATAGAAATGTATTCTATAACTAATAATATGGGGACAAACCGTTGGGATATCCGGGACTCGTCAGTCTATACGTAGAGTTCTTGTTGAGTATTATATCAAACGATGTGTTGCCGACGGGTGTGACCACTGGTTTCCTCAAAGATAAGGCCACCGTTTCGTTGACGGCGTTCCACAACAGGAAGAACTTTCCCGGCATTCCTGTTGTCATCACAAAGTTAACTGTCATTGCGTTCCCATTGCTGGAGACGGCGTCCGGAATATTGTAACCGCAATAACGACCCAATTCTGGGGCCGATTCTCCGATACCATCCAAGAGTGAGACATAAGAACTGCATTCAGTGTAAGTCGTTTGAAGAGCCAATTCTGTAAACGTTATGCTAATGTATTTGTATTGCGGAACAGTTATAGTCCACGAGAAGACTGAGTCTTGGGGGCGAATGTCGTGCGGATAACCTGAATATATCAAACCCTTTGTTAGCCATAACAGTAAAAATAACAATTTATTGATCACAAATACCTGGACTCGCTATTTGTCCCGAATTGCCGGTCAAATCGATTCCGTGATCCAAAGCATACGAGGCCTGAAAACCCGGAGCCGTTCCCGACTGATCCGATCGGAACTTTACCCAAAGAATATGCGTTGACGTGAAGTTTAATGCGGGCACCTGTCGGCCGCAATAACGGCCTAATAGCGGTCCACTCGACTCCTGTTCCCGGAGCTCAACGTAATCTGTATTACAATATTCACTCTCTTCTAAATTGAATGAAATGAAGTTAAATGTGACCCGATTTCCGGGCGCCGCACGTATTATCCAAATACATTCACTCTCTAATGGATAACTATTTGGGTAATCCTTTGCAGTAAAAAAATTATTTGGCAATTAATACACGTTTTAATCTATGAATAGATCAATAACTTACTGGTGATTGAAATATTCCTTCCTGCGATGTGATGTCTCCGCCACAGAATGAGGTGGAAGTGGCATAAGTGGCCCGAAATATGCCAAACGAGTTGGTAATGTAGAGAGCGTTGCCCTGGGATGTGATCGGCGCCGGTATTCTGTCGCCACAGTATTTGCCGATGAGAGGAGAGGCGGCCAAATCCATTCCGGCACCAGAATCGCCGTCCCGTACCTCAACGTAATCGTTACAGTTCTGGGACTCCCTTATGTCTATGCGGGTGAATGTGAGGGTTATGTGCTCTTCGGGCTTAGAGGCGATTAGAATCCAGTGACAGGCGATGTTCACCACAGAGTGCAGCGGATAGTTGGGTGAAGTGAGTTCTCCCATCTCATTGCTGTTCAACACTTTCCTTCCGCCGCACTTTGTTTTATACGATAATTTGAATCCTTTTTCACATTTAAATTAATGCAAACAACAAATTAATTTTCACAAATAAGACACAACTCATATACCTTTTCCAGTTCTCTGTCCGTTGGCTTTCATTCTGATATAAACTTTATTACCAGTACTTCGGTATATATTAGTCGCCGGAACACCAGTTCCGCAGATTCTGGCAATTGTCGGGTCTTCAGTAGACAAACCGTCATATATTGCTAAATAGCTTTGAGTGCAGTTAACGTCGGAAGGAATGTCCAAATCTTCGACTGTGAGCTCAATGTCGTGAAGACCGTTCACTTCAACCACAAACTCGCAGTCGTCTAATGCATCGAACGGTGCGTTCGGGAAATTGGGTGACGTTATGGTCGCCGTCTCTGTTGTGTATCGACCACTACATGAGCCGCTCTTCACTCGAAACATAGCCGTAAAGCCTCGACCTTAGAGGGAATTTGTAAGAAGACATTATATTGTATAACAATTGAACCACAAATACCTGTAACAGAAGAATCGCTCTTAAACTTAATTGTCATCGAGCGTCCCATAGATGTGACCACTTTCTGGTCCTGTATTCGATGGCATTGGTTAAGAAGTAATGGTGAGGTCTGGTCGGGTCCGCCGTAAACATTCATATAATCAAAGGTACAGCCGTTGCCGGACTCGAGATCAAACACTTGTATAGTGAGCTCAATAGCGAAACCAAAGGGCGCCCGTATGTGCCAAAGACACTCCGTGTCGTGTGGATAGCCGTACGGATAGTTGGGTGATGTTATTTGACCGGTTTGTTTGTTAATGAAATCTCCACCGCAGCCGACACTAACCCATTCCAGTCGAAAGCCGATGTGAGCGACAGAACCATCGCTAACAAAGTTGACAATCGCGTCGCTGGACGTGGTGTTGAACGGCGGCGGCAATTGGTTAGAAGTGCCGCAGTATTTGGCGATTTGTGTCAAATTATTGATCACTGGGTTATAGTTAGAGACCTTCACGTAATCAAACTGACAGTTGAGGTCCGGTTCGATGAGGAGTCGGGAGAAAGCGATGGTTATATTGTTACCGCGCGGAGCCCTCACACGCCACGAGCAGTTGGCGTTATGGTTGTACAGCTCCGGGTAGTTCTGGGTTTGCAGTGACAATCAATTGTAAATATGTGTTATAAGATATTGTATTCATTAAAACGTACCGGACTTTCAATGACACCCCTATAGCCGTAGACAGTATTCGTGCAATTAATCCGATAACTGACACGAAATCCTCGGCCAGTTTCTGAAGTATCGGTTTTAAACTTAAGGTACAATACATTTGACTTCGATTGGACGAAGTGCTGGATCTGCCGATT